AACACGAAGTTTCGGGCGGCCGCTCGCGACTCAACCCAGAGTGCCGCTAGGGGGAGTTCCCTGCTTTTCCGCAATTCCGGCCTGTTCATTAGCCTTCAGTACTTACTTCCGGCTTGCGTTTTAGGGCCGGAATGTGCACAGAATTTCGTCGGAGAGCCTGTACGGTATAGCTCAGCTAGTGTGGCGAGCTCGTATTGGTCGTTTGGTCGTTAGAAATCGTTTCTTCATGTGACCTCCAGCGTGCCATGGAACTTTCGGCGTGCAGAACAGAGACTTACTCAGAAGCGGACAAAAGAGAAGCGGATTTTAGCGACTTGTACTTAGGTAGCGTCAATTACTAATTCTCTACGAACAGTGGCCATTTAGTCCCGGGACACAAAAGAGAAAGAAGTTTGACTTTTAGGACATTAACATAAGAGCTTTTTCTTAACGGTTCGGCATTATACAATATTGACCCAATAGTTACTTCACCGTGATATTGCTGACGACACCTGGAACCCTTACGAAATTCGCCACGGCCGTCGATGGAAAATGAACGGCGTAGGACAGGGGCGAGATGGCTGGAGACGGTGGCTAACAAAAAGCCCGGGGCTGTGGCAGCTTTGATGTTCTCTGGCAGCGAGCCACGGCCGCCTTTCAAAACCAGGTAGTGCGAGCCACCTTTTAAAATTCGACATTTGTTTACCCAATATCCTCATACCAGTTTATGCCGCCATGAGAAGCTTACGGGTGTGGGCCCTGTTTGGCTACTAGGTTAGCAAGCACGAGAATACATAAGAGCTTACAGCTTTTTCACCCTAACTGCAATCATTGATTCAGCTGCAGACCACTAAGCTACCTAGGCTTAATAAATTCATAGACTGATATCCCATTAAGTTGAAGTCCCATAAGACTTTTGCCGCCATCCCGAAGGCCGACGTGTCGACAGTGGGCGCCCAATTGGCTCTCTTGCTTGCTAGCAGCTCTTGACGGAGGGGGTCTCCACGGCTCGGCCTTGTAGCAGGTATGTAATTCTCTTTTCCCCCATAGCCACACTTTTAACATGCATCCTTTCGTCCATGCACACTTTAGCTCAAGGCTCAATTCCTACGGGAAATAGTGTGTGGAGGTGCGCGTTTAGCACCTTTGACTTTGCTGCCCTCCATGTCTCAATGGCACTTTCGGCCTTTGTATTTTTGTGACCGCTCGTAACTTCCAGATGGATGGCCCCCGCCTCAGTTTGGGCCCGCCAGCTGCTTTTGTGCTACAGATATCGTACCACAGATGCTATATTTCTCAAAAGCTCAGATCCACCTTCTCGGAAGCCGATCTTCTCTCTATCCTCTGATCCTCCTAACAATCCGCAACTCTTTGCTCGGTTCTCCACCCCCGCGTCCTCTGCTTAGTTTACCGAGGTACGTCTCAAAGCTTGCCTCTTGTATGTCGGCGACGCTCTTGCCTTTTATCTTCCGGTTTTTCTTCCTCCGCCGCCTTTTCTTTCCACTCATCCCTTTTTTTATGCCACCGTCTGCTTGTTGAAAGTAAGCGTCTTGGAGCGCCTTCACGTGCACAACTACTAGAAATGAGTATCAAGCACAAGACGAGAGTCCAAGTCAAGTCCGATCCCGTAGCTAGGTCTACTCTAGCTTATGTGCAGTCTACTAATAGGCTAGGTGTTTCAAATCCTCATTCTTGATTTGATACCGATTAAGACCTTGATCTCGGCCTCATCAAGACCAAACATATGCCACGCAAGGATCCCGCTTCACTACAATGGTATAGGATATTAGCGCGTAACCACGACAAAAAATCCTGAATCCCAACAGGATTAAGGCCAAAGACTTCTTAATCTCAACACTCATCCACGCACCAAGTATCCTACGCAACTCCTATCTCCCCTTGCAACTCCCCCGGTGTCAACGCCTTGGTCAAATGTCCCCCTTCATGTCCTCCGTCCTGCAATATGCGAATCCGACCTCCTTCCGCGCCACCCTCTCCCGCGCAAAGCGGTGAATCACGTCAATGTGCTTCAACCGCGGTGAGGCAATTGGATACCAAAAAAGAGCCGTGTTGTCCCTTGGTTGTCGCAGTAAATCTTGACCGTTCCGAGGTCCAACCCGAGATCTCCCCCGAGCTTGCGGAACCACAACGCCTCTTTCACGGCTTGTCCCGCGCTCATGTACTCCGACTCCACCGTCGAAGCCGCCACCGTCGGTTGAAAACGGCTCGACCAACTCACCGCTTCCGCGTACATCAAGAATACGTACCCCGCATAGTCGGCGTCATGAAACGCCTCTAGGACCTCACCGCTCTCCCCAAAGGTTATCCCGGCTTCCGCGGTCCCTACCAAGTAGCGCACCACCCCGAGCGCCGCCACCCAATGCCCCCGTGGGCGCGCTTGTGTACCGCGGCAATGCCTCCACGGCTTGAGCGATGTCGAGCCGCCTGCACACGCTCAAGTAAAGCATACTCCCGATAAGCTCGCTATAGGGAAAGTTCGCCGTATCAAGCGGCTTACCCTCCCTCGTTAGCTTCTCCCCCGCACCAAGGGGAACCGAGCGCGCCCGTGCGCCAGCCAACCCGTGCCGTCCGAGCAACTCACCCGTTAGCTTTTTCTACGTTAGCTTTAGGGTGCGCCTCCCAATCGCGCGTCAACTCCATCCAAAGAAAGTACGTCGCCTCCCCCAAGTCGCGCACGTCGAACTTCTCCGCCAAGTGCGCCTTCATCTTCGCAATCACTCCGCTCCCCGAGCCGCAACGAGAATTTCGTTCCTCACACGATGGGGTAAACCCGCTCCCCGTTCACCACCCCCGAAAAGAGAGCCGCGTCCTCAAGGACGCCACGAACTCGAAGTTCCCGAGCTCCTTCCTTAAGCGCGTGTGCCACGCACGCGGCGCTTGGCGTAACTCGTACAAGATGCGCTTGAGGTGGAACCACGTTAGGCCCGCCTTGCTCGTACCCCTGCGGCCCTTGCACGTAAATCTCCTCCTCGAGGTCACCATTAAGGAATGCCGTTTTAACGTCCAATTGATGCAACTCCAAATCGCGCTCCACGACCGCCGCTTGAAGCGCCCGCAGATTGATGTGCTTGCTCACAAAGGCATATACCTCCTCGAAGTCGATCCTTGCTTTTGCAAGTACCATTTCGCCTCCGAACGAGACTTGTACCGCTCAACGTTCCCAAGCGCATCCGGCTTCATCTTGTAAACCCACTTCATGGGAACCGGCTTTACCCCCTTCGCTTTTCCGAAATGGTCCCACGTCCCGTTCTCCAACATGGACCGCATTTCCTCGTCCATCGAAATCCGCCAAAGCCCACCCTCTTCTCCCCCTACGGCTTCTTGATACGTTTGCGGCTCCGAATACTTCCGCAACCCCTTGGAATGCTCCCCGTTTTCGCCGCCAAATTCGCTCGATACCACTCCACGGGCGCCCGCCTCTCGCGTGCGGGGTATCTTTGTGCCGTCTTCTCTTGACCGCCATCCCCTTCATCGGAATCCTCGCTCCGGGTGTCGGCCTCCCCCATACGAGTAGCCCCTACACCCATCCGAGTCGGGGGGCTCACATGACTAGGGCCACGAGCACCCCCCTCATCCTTCCCCGGATCGGAGCCAAGCTCAACAATTGCAACGGGCCCACGCTCATCCACCGTTGACGTTGCGGAAGTTTAAGATCCTACCTTCCCGCTCCCAAAGGACCCGGTAGGATTGTAGTTGGACTCGTAGCCCAAGAACACCGTCCTTTCGTTCATCGGCTCCATCTTCTTCCGGTTTCCCTTTGGCACGTGGACGTGGGCCCGCGCTCAAACAACCGCAAGTGGCGTACGTTCGGCTTTTTTCCGTAGAACCTTTTCCACGGGGTCTTGCCGTGTACGCTCGAGAGTACCCGGTTCCGGGTGTGGTTGCCCGTCAACATCGCTTTCGCCCTCAAGTCTGGCCCCAACCCGGCGTCCTGTAGCAAAGCCCGTGCTCTCTCCTCCAGCGTCCGGTTCAACGGATCCGCCGATCCGTTTTGTTTGGGAGAGTGCCCCGCCGTGGTTCGTTGCACCGTCCCTCTTTTTTCCGAGGAGGGTCGTCATTCCTTCGTTGATGTACTCCCCGCCCGAGTCCGTTTGCACCGCCTTGACCTTCTTCCCGGATTGCAATTCCAAGCGGGCAAACACAATCTAGGTGATTGTCGTAACGTCGCTCTTCCCTTTCAAAGGTTGGACCACCGAGAGCTTGCTATAGTCGTCGAGGAAAGTTGCTAGGCTCTACTCCCCCCCTTTAACGTCACCGGCATGGGCCCGCACACGTCCATGTGCACGTGAGCTCGAGGGGCTCACTACTCTCCTCGGCCCAATTATAACTAGCACTGAGTCCAACGCCTTGGGGAACGGCTCGCGGGTTTGCTTTCCCATGATGCAAGGCTCGCACACCGAAGTTTTCTACTTCCGAACCGCCTCTGCTTTAACCCCCACACCCCGGATCAACCCGGGTCCTCGACCATCTTGGCAAGCTCTCACAGTCGGCGTATCCCAGTGTCCGGTGCAACAACAGCGGGCCCTCGGCTTCCCTCACGAGCAAGCACGTGTCCTACCACGTTGCTCCCGGTTGGCGAATCACCGACGCGTTCTCCGCATTCTTCTCTGCCCAAAGCATGACTTCTCCGTCCATACACATTTCACAAACTTCACTGCGGAACACAACCTCGGCCCGTATCGCGGTTGCTTTCTTCACCGGGAAGAGGTTCTTCGCCACAGCAAGAACTACGCCACTCCGAAGATGATCAAGACACTCCCCGGTTGGCGTCTCACACCGCAACTCCACGGTGCCCACTCCGGCTACCTCAAGGAACCCCTTGTTCTCAAACTTGATTGCCCGAGTCCCCGGCTCAAGCATCTTGAAGGTTGAGAACGAGCCCTTAATCCCCGTCATGTGTTGGCTAGCCCCGGAGGCAATAATCCACTCTACACCTTAATTTCGGCCTCATTGCAATCAAATCTAAGCCTCACACAACGATCCCACCTCACTACAAGGGTATACGATATTATGGCGTAACCAAGACAAATACCCTTTAATCTCGACAGGTTTAAGATCAAAAACTTCCTGTTGAAATTCATGGTAGGGATTCGTAGTGTAGTTGAGTTACCCG